GTGACTTCATTCTTGAAGTCAGTAAGACCAAGAACCCACCAATTCTGGACACATTTTGGTGACCACGGAGGAACCATCATCTATTGCCAAGCAGTGGCTTCATTCTTGAAGTCAGTGAGACCAAGATCCCAGCAATTCTGAACACATTTTGGTGACCCAGATGGGACCATCACCTATCGCCAAGTGGTGAGACTATTGCGTATCGCCAAGCGGTGAGTACCATCAGACCCCTTTCGCTTGCTATTCTGTCCTATTTTTCCTTAGAATTCGGGGGCTAAATATCGGGCACCTGTTGTCCAGTTAAAAGCAACTAACATGGCCACTGGACTAAAGACACAGCTGTCAGGCTTTCTGGGAAGGGGTTCTCTAGCAACCCCATGACTCTTTGGAGTTGGGAGTGTTGGTTTGCATGGAACCAGCTCCTGCTTCTCCTGTACTTCTGGGCTGAGCCAAGGGTGGACAGAGAGGAAAGCCATGCAGCTTCGGGATCCGAAAGCAAGTTGGTTGATCCTGCGGCCCTGAGCAGAACTCTCAAAGGCATGTCGCCCAAGCGAGACTCACCCATCTATCCTATCTATCCTGACCGTTGCCCCCTGGGTCCTAACACCTGCCAGACAAACTTCCTGTCACCTCTCTTCTCCGAGGCTAGTCCCGCATCTGAAAAACCACTGTCTCTGGTGCTTTTCTACTTTCTTGTATAAGAATGATTTCTAGTATAAACTCCAGGACTCAGTTACCTTCTTTAGGCACCCGGGCTCACCAGTCAGAAGGACATAATTTTTGCACAAATACCCGTTGTAGAGGGGGCTGTCTGGAATTTTAGGATCCCTCCTCAGACAAGCAGGCCTAACAGAAGCTATTCCTGAAGCTACGATATGGGGAGCCTCAGAAATTGTATCCTTCCTATTCATATAAGTGAGGACAAAAGGCATCACTCTTCTGACTCTGGAGAGCCCTTGCCTCCCTCAGGGTATGGCTGTCCACTTCATTTTGGGGGCATAACATCTTTATAGGACATGGGTAAGGTCCCAGTACTAACAGAGGAATGCTTAGGACTTTAACAGGTTTTCGAGAATGCGTTGGTAAGGGCCACTAAATGTGATTTTTCTCAGTCCTCTCTGTGGTCTAGGAGGACAGGCAAGGGTGCAGGTTTTTGAGAATGTGTTGGTAAGGGCCACTAAATCCGACTTTTGTTGGTCCTTCTTGTGGTCTGGGAGGAAAATTAGTGTTTCTGCTGCTGCGTTGGTGAGCGCAACTGTTCCAGTCAGCAGGGTCCAGGGACCATTGCGGGTTCTTGGGCAGGGGTTGTTTCTGCGGCTGCATCGGTGAGTGCAACTATTCCCATCAGCAGGGTCCAGGGACTGTTGAGGGTTCTTGGGCAGGGGGAGAAACAAAGCAAACCAAAACGCTGGCGATTTTGTCTTTCAGATGGGAAACACTCAGGCATCAACAGGCTTACCCTTGAAATGCATCCTAAGCCATTGGGACCAATTTGACCCACAAACCCTGAAAAAGAGGCGACTCATTTTTTTTCTGCACTATGGCCTGGCCCCAATATTCTCTCCCTGATGGGGAAAAATGGCCACCTGAGGGAAGTATAAATTACAGTAAGAAGGAAAAGTTAAATAATTTCTGCAAATCATTCAGTACTACTCAGTACCATGTTGGAATTCACAGGGAAAGTAACTTACTATGATTCAATTCATTTATTTTAAAGCCAGAAACTGCCTTAAAATGCCTGCTATACCAAAATACTGCATCCCTGAAACCTGATGAATTCTCAGAAAAATCATTCTAGATGAAGAGAACCCAGTCTACAGTGGACTTGCGTTGTATTTCAGCACTGATCCCAATGTGATTTTACCATAGGCTTTCATCACTAAGAATGTGGTGCAGTCTCTTGGAGTACAAGGACAGTATTAGTAAAAATCTAGAATACATTTGTGGGAATAGAAGAAATTAAATTTTGACATTCTCTTAATTTTTGTGGTATTCTCTTTTTGCAACAGGGCATCTCTGGAAAGCACAAGATAATGCAGGTTTTTGTCAATCGAATCACTTTTCCCTATATCCCATATTAATAACTGGGATAGTATTCTGAAACAAGCACTTTGCTTTCAAATACATTTTAGATATAACCCATAAACCTCAAAGTAAAAGGACAGTATATTTAAAAACACACATTTCCTGAAATCCTGTATGGTTATAGCTATATAGAATGCAGGAGGTCCCAGGGTGCTCTGCAGCGAAGCTCTGCGAGTCCTAGCCAGTCCACCAGCCCCAGTCAGCCCCTTTCCCCTGAGGGATGCTTGGGGGACATGGGTAAAGGGATTACCCGGGATAGTTCGGGCTGCATGAACTCACGCAGATGTGCCTGTTCCTCAGGGACCATATCTTATACTCTCTGCCTCCTTGACACTTGGATCAGATCAGAGACTCTCTTTTTCCTGTCTGAAATGCTGCAGACCCCAGTCGTAATAACTTCTGAGGCATCCCTGACCTCAACAAGCCAGGAAATTCCTTAGTGAACCAGAGCAGAAATAGCCACCAGGTGGCGCAAATACACAGCCAGCCCGCTGAACTCTGGCTGACCAACTGCTGGGACATTTCTGTTACATTGCAACCCTGCTTATAAGCCTGAAGGGTTTGAAGTTGCTTAAAGTTTAAAGGCCAAGACAGGGGTTCTCAGGTTCTCGGAGTCTCCTTAGAGGGCTCTAAAGCTTTCATCAGGGCCCAGCAGGAGCTAGAAGCATTCTTGGATGTGCAACTGGCCTCCCTATTAAATGGGATTTGCCTGATGCTCATGGCAGATGGGCTTTTTCCCAGTACCCAAGTCTCCCAACTCTCATTCCCAGTTATTTTTCCTTATTCTACCATGAAAGTATTTTAAGTAGGGTAGGCGACCTGTACAAGTAATTTTTGCTTTCTGCTTTAACATGGAAGTACAGGAAAGAATGCACTGGAAATGGAAAATCTCCATGAATATTGGCTGTAAAAACAATAATAATGTATTTGGGGGTTGAAAGTACTGTCACATAATTAAAGTATGTGACAGTAATAACATGAAGAGGGCAGGATAGTAAAGGGAGTTAAAGTGAACCAGCATTGGTGGGGAGTTATGCAAAGCTGTCTGGGGAAGTTTGATCTGACTCTTGGCATGTGGTTCTCAGGTAAATAGAATCTTTTAGAATCATTTTTCAATTTTTTAAACAGTAGCTACCTCTGGAGCTGTATGTTTAGAGGTGCTGTTGAGATTTCTGTTTTAATGGTGGGGAGCGTTCGAGCCGCTTGAGCATTCTTTTCATCTCTAACTTTTCCTTCCTCACTCCTACAAATATTAAGGGGAATTTATTTTTATTTGCATTTTTTTAAAAATTGAGACAGGGTCTCACTTTGTCACCCAGGCTGGAGTGCAGTGGTGTAATCTTGGCTCACTTCCACCTCTGCCTCCTTGGCTCCAGCTGTCCTCCCACCTCAGCCTCCTGAGTAGCTGGGACCACAGGCGCTTACCACCAGGCCCAGCTATTTTTTTGTATTTTTGGTAGAGACAGCATTTCACCATGTTGCCCAGGCTGGTCTCAAACTCTTGAGCTCAAGCGACCCACCTGCCTTGGCCTCCCAAGGTGCTGGGATTACAGGTGTGAGCCATGGTGCCTGGCCATAAAGGAGAATTTTAAAAGGGAAGAGAAGCCAAAGTGGGCGGCCAATGGGTCAGGCAAAAACTGTCAGAGAGTTTCGTTGCACACTTCATTGATTGGCAGGTGGGCATCCTTTTCAGTGGCTCATTCGTTACAGGTGAAGAGAGGATTGCCAGCACCCTGCCCGTACATGTTCAGGGTTGCCTCTGTGCTGTGTTTCTTGGATGCTTTTGGTCAAATGACAGAGAGAATGGCATGCACTGTCTTCATGTTATATTTTATATGCAGAGACCATAGTTGTCTTAAAGTTGTAGCTGCTAGTTGGGTGCAGTGACTCACTCCTGTAATTCCAGCAGTTTGGGAGGCAGAGGAGGGAGGATCACTTGAGGCCAGGAGTTCAAGACCAGCCTGGGCAATTAAGTGAGACTCTGTCTCTACAAAACAAAAAAGTTTTTTTAATTAGCTTGGCATGGTGGCACGTGTCTATAGTCCCAGCTGCTTGGGAGGCTGAGGCAGGAGGATCCGTTGAGCCCAGAAGGTCAAGGCTGCAGCACGCTATGATTGCATCACTGAATTCCAGCCTGGGCAACAGAGCCCTGTCTGTCTGTAGGGGGATGAAAAACAAGTTGTAGCTGCACATGTAGTAAAGAAAAAGTTAGCTTTGGAAAACTCTCTTGAAAAACCGAAGAAGATGAGATTTATTTCCTGTCATTGAACCAAGCGAACCAAGCACATTAAGTCACGGGGCAGGGCCTCTGCACAATGGGCTCTTCTCAGATAACTCAAGGTCTCATGGGGCCATTTCCACTTCAGTGTAGCATCATCATACCTCCTAGGGGTGCAGAGAGATGGAGAAGTCTCTCTTAGAATACTTGCAGATCTTTCTTCTGTGACCCACCTTTGCCGTCAGCTGCATTGAGAAAGGACATCTGAACTGGTGCAGTGGGGCCCCTGGGGGCAGTCGTAACACAAGCTCTCTGTCACTGTCTCGGGTGAAGAGTCGGCCCATGTTTTGCCCTTGCTGCAGGGCATGTGCTGTTGCCACTATTTTCATCTGTTGACTTTCGTATGTGGTATGTTACTCCCTTCTTCCTACCCCGGCATGGGGAGGGAGCAGGGAGGAGTACTGATTGCTGGGAATAGTCTAATTTCAGAAGCACCCGTGACCTGTGGACTCCATCTGAAAAGGGGATGCATGAATAATTGGACTTTTAAAACTTTGGTTTGGTTTGGTTTGGTTTGGAGACAGGGTCTTGTTCTTTTGCCCAGGCTGGAGTGCAGTGGTGTCATCATGGCTCACTGCAACCTCCACCTTCCAAGGCTCAAGTGATCATCCCACCTCAGCCTCCCAAAATGCTGGGATTACAGGTGTGAGCCACCATGTTCAGCCTGTTTTCATATTTTTAAAGGAACTGTTTTAAGGGAAAACTTAGATGACCTATGATTCATTGGCATAATAATACTTGACCTTCGTTCTTCTTACTTTTTACGGTAATTAACTTTAACTCCAGACACAATTTCTCAGGGATGGTTATTGAACACCAGGTGAAGAGACAGGTTTCTTCCACTCCTGTTTTGCAACCTCCTTTCCTATTTAGCACGCATTGCTATGCCTTAGGAAGGACATTTGTGGGCGGTTAGGGTTGAATCTGTTCTCTGGCCACTAGGGGGTGCGCCTATCAAAGGCATGTGTGTGAGAAACTCCGCAGGCTGATGGTGCTTCGATAAAGAGCAGGTCTGATGTGTTCATGAGGTGGAGGACTTAGTGGGGGCTAAGTTCAGCAGGTTCAGAAGAATGCTTTTCCAGCCAGAATCTTCCTCCTTCCCCCTTGTAGCTCAAAATCTCCAATAACTCTGGCCCCTGGCTGTGGCAGAAGGAGACGCAACATATTAAACAGTGTCAATCCTTCGTCTCTGAGTGTATCGTGCAAACTTCCTTAGCATCCTTTCTTTGCACATGGGGCTTTAGAGCAAAAGAGCACCATCCAGCAGGTGCAAGGGTGACACGCAGGGGACCAAGGGCGAGGAAACATCAGGGTCTCGTGATATATAAGCAAGTCAATTCTGTGTGAGGCTAATAAAACATAGCTTTTATGAGTGCAGCCTTTGGTGCCAGACTGCCTGGTTTTGCATCCCAGCTTCATTGTTCATTAGCTGTGTGACACTGGACAATTTACCTAACTTTCCTTGCCTCATTAGTAAGTTGGATCTAGTAGTATCTCCCACCCAGGCTTGTTATGGACATTAATGAGTTAATTGATGTTAAGTTCTGAGAAGCCTTGGCATGGAGCCAATTTTAGTAAGTTTTTTACAGTTGATGATTGTCATTTGGATCTGATGGTGGAAATGAGTCTGCAGAATGCATCTACACCCCAGATGACTGGGGACATTCTTCAACGTGGCTTCAAAAACAGTTAATCCTGAGGAGGGGCATATCCCAAAGTCCACGAATTCTAGAGAATTTTCATGAGAGTGCTTAGCAGTGCAGGAGTTTTATACCCCTCAAAGAGCCTCTTTAGTGAAGGAAGAGGTGGATTTTTTTGCTTCGCGTTTTTGCTACTCAGGAATTAGCATGTAGACGCATAGCCAAGGATGTCTTTATGGTGCCTGCTCTTGTGCAGATTTTCAAAAGCAGGTAAGGCTCAAAACCACAATATACATTGAATCAATGTTACTGTCCACGACAGGAAACACTTTTCTATCCATGATACCCTTTGGAGAGTGCCTTGGACCTAGGCTAGGCACTGCTAGGACAGAGGACCACCAGAATCTGGCGGGGCTGAGTGGTGATGGGGTCCTGGTACCTGGGATGGGTAGTTATAGGCATCCAGCACCTCTTCCTCCAATGATTTTCTGTAGGTGCCTGTACTCGTGACTTTGCCTCTAGTAGGATCATATCAAAGCACCCCTGAGAATCACGCTGGTTATTCTGGGGTACGGGCAAGAGAGGGAAGGAATGACCAGTTAAGAGTCCCATGATCCAGTTACCTGCCTCCCATTGACCCTGCTTTTGATGGCCATCGAACAGCTCCACGTGAAGCTAGCATGCCTTCTATGTTTATCCTTTCTCCTGAGACAGTGTGCTGTTGTGATACTTTTTATTTTGTTTTCTGTTTTTCCAAGTGGTGACTTTGTCACAGTGTCCTTCCTACCTCTGAATTCAGTGCGATGTGACCTCGGGAGAGGAGATGTGAGCACGATGTCCAGACTCGGACATGTCTGTTTCACGTCTGCCAGGAAGTAATTTTATGCTGGGAGCCGGCTTCATGGCGTGGGATTCTAATTCTGGGGATGGCATTTTGTATGTGTAGGAAGACTGTCAAAACCTTTCCAATGGGAAGGGACAAGAACCAATTTGAGAATCACATGGTTACATAAGAACTGGCCCTGTGCGGGCATCTCTGCACACTTCCTGTACTTGTTCATTCTGAAGACGAGAGAAAGAGGAGCAGGAAGAATCTTCCATGAACTCTGCAAACCTACAAACTTTCCAATGAGAAGTGGTGCACACTCCCCCGATGGTGCTTGGGACAACATGGTTCAAAGGGTAAGGGGTATTTATTAACCCTTTGCTTTCTTGTTATTCCTGTCCCTCCTTTTTAAATGTTTACATTACCAAACTGGCTAGACTGCTGAGAATCTATCATTTTTAGGTGGCCTGCTAGGGTTTCCACTGGTCTTATCCCAGTAAATAACTGCAGAAAATAGCTGCAGCAGCCACACCCAGCAGCAGTAGCATCTAGGGGACTCTTTGGGACCTGAGCCAGAAAGTTCCCATATGCGGTATCTCATTCTGTCTCCACAAGACACAAGACACAAGGATTATTATGTCTATTTTAGAGATGAAGAAAAAGAGGCTTACAGCTTCAGAAGATTTGAAACCTGCCCACAATAGCTACAGTGTTTGAGCAGTACAAGGAGACATATGCAGACTTAATTTTTGTTTTCCAAGTTGTTTAGTCACAGGTGCAGACACTCACGGGAGCAAGGCAGTGACACAGACGAAAGTAGCAGATCTCAGTGAAGCTTTATTTCTAGCCTCCCGTGCCAGGGACACCCTCCACTCCCTTGGAGTCCTTGAGAAAGCCACCAAATGCTTGTCTCACTGTGGCCTTTCCAGACTCAGCATGGTATTCTCACTAATGAAGATCACACACCGGCCATCCACTTGCTGCTTCTTAAGGGAACCTGCACGGAGCATTGTCCTTCCTGGATCTCAAGCGAAACCCAGCAGGAGCAAGGCCATGTTTCTATCTGGGGGTTGAAAGCAAAATCATGCTTCCAGTTTTCCAGGGATGCTGTAAATCCTTCCCAAATTCTCACAGCAAGCAAGTGGCAGGGCCAGCATTTGGCCCCATTCACCCTGATGCCAGTCCTCCCCCACCTCAGCCTCGAGGCTGTGCTGTCTTGCTATTTAAGGAAAAGGGAACGTGTTGGCTACAAGGTTTCAGTCTCTCTTTACATTCAATTCAGGTAAATCCAGGAGGCCTTGTCTCCATTCTTGGCTTATTGAGCCTTTGCCTGCTTTCTTCTTGTTCATTTGTTGATGACCTTGCTGCATAGCCAGCGCAAAGCAGTGAGGGAAAGCAAGTGTTTTCATGACTGAGGTCCTGAGTGCTCATCTTCCTGTTTCATGATAGCGCAGAAATCGGCCTACATTTTTTGCCTTCTGTTGTTCGTGGATGGAGCCTGAAGTTAGCAGTTTTGAATTTGGTTATCTCCGTCCCCCCAGCCCTTTTATATATTTATCCGCGATGTCATATACTAAAGCTTTTGCTTATGTTTCTCGAAGGGTTCTCCCGCATTTCCACTGCAGCCTTCCGTGTCACTTATGAGCATTAGGGCAAAGGGAGAGGGCTGGAAAATGGGGACCAGGAAGAGGGAGGCCTCTGCCGTATAGCTTTTACAGTTCAGGGGCATCTGCTGGAGATGGTCCGTCTGGGACCAGGTCTGTTAGGAGATGAGCCATGCCAGCTTTTGCAGATAGGAAAGCTGTGGGAGGAGGCCCAGTTCTTCCTCACTGTGGGGAAGCATCACAGATTCCTGCAACTGCTGCTCACTGCAGGGAGCCCCGCCTCCAGCCAGCTGGGCGAGGCTGGGCATCCAAACAGGCATCCAAGGCGTGGGACAGGGGCCTGTGGATTTCCTCCATCTATCTGAGTGGCTCACTAAAGGATGGCATCCCATCGGTCACATGTAGGGCACCTTGATAGTAATGGATCATGCCATGGAACAGGGTCATGTTGGAGTTTAGACTAAAAATAAGAGACTAATGTGTTGATTCATTTGTTGGTACAACCAACATTTATGAGCATTTATGATATTTAAGGCAATGTGCGGACTCTAGTCACAAAGATGAATCAGGGAGAAGCCAAGGCCTTCATGGAACTGATTGTTGAGTGAACTCCCTGTCACTCTGGACCTCGTGTGCTGTTCTCTCTCCTGGCACTCTCATCCCCTCTCCGCTACAATTCTCAGTTAAGAACTGAGTATGTTGCATTCTTAGACTAGACAGGGGGAGCCTGCTGGGAGCTCTCCCAGTCCAGGTCCTACCCCTGTTTCAGCACGTAGTTTGTACTTCCTTACTAACCTGATGTCCCACCAGAGGGATAGGACCTTGTCTACTTAGCACACCTTTGCATCTCTTGCACCCAGCACAGTTCCTGCCACTGGATAAGCATATGGTAAGTGTGTGTTGAATGAATGAATGGATGGTCAGTTAAGGATTCTACCATTCAAGAAGGGAGACACACGTTTACTTATAAGTAGAAGTTGATATATACTATGAGAATCATACAAATAGACTATAAAGTGTTTCTGAAATTCCAGAAAAGGATAAGGAGAATTTGTTTGAGGACTCCATGAGATTTTACAGTGGAGAGGACAGTGAAGATAAATCTTAAAAGAATAGGGAGCATTTGGACATGAGTGAGCTGTGGAGGAGGAGGAGCGTGGGTGACCATCAAGGAGTGGAAAGTGGAAGAATGTGAAATTTCCTTCAATTTCTGCTCCTTTGGGGCTGGGCCATAAAATATTATGTACTGTGGTGTTTGGATGATATTTGATAATTTGTAAGTTAGGAAATAATGCAGTTAAAGCTGAGGATTTCACTTTGGTGGTAGTAAAAAGATGGCAGGAAGGTGGAAGAGGCTGGAGGTGATATTGGCCGAAACTAGAAATAGAAAGGGAATAGAAAGGGAAAAAACAAATGTGAAAGAAAAGGTGTGGAGTACAGGGCTTGATAACAGATTGGATGTGGGGAGTGTTGCACAGCTTGTGTGGCCAGGAAGCTGGGGTGCTCTTTCTGCCTATAGGAGACACAGCTTTGGGAAGGGGCTGGCTTGTTCCATTTAGGATAAAGGACATTTGAATTACTGTCAGGACTTTCAGCTGGAGATATCTAGAAGACCAATGGAAATAAAAATAGCTAGCACAAGTTAACATTTGCTGGAGATTTATAGAAACCTGGCAAGTGTTTTGTTAGCCTAATTTAATGAAAGGGGATCTGGGAAACTATAGAACAGAGAATAAAGTGGCCAGGACATACCTCAAGTGTGTGATGCCTAGGACTCCCGCCTTCATGCATCAAGTACCGTGCTTGTTCTGGAGAATTTCTCCAGGAGAACCAGGGCTTTCCAGAGCATTCTGGATGAGAAGTGCCAATGAGATGTATTTAGAGGGACAAGTTGCTGAGGCAGCACCAGGTGAGATCATTTGCTGAAGCCTACAGTGGGTTCTTCTAAGTGTGTACTAGAGTCACGTGTTTATGTGTATGTACATGTATGTACGTGTGTGTGCACAAGTGTGTGTGCATGTGTGTGCTCATCTGCCAGCAGGAGAGAAAATGGTGATAAGAGAAAACTGGAAAGAGGATGGCCCATCACGCAGGGATTCTGATTTGTTTGTAAGAGCTGGAAAACACAATTGATACTCCTCCCGTAGCAGGCCATTGGTGCAGTCGTATTTTCGCCGTTTCCTAGTGACTAACACTGTATAGATAGTGCTGCCTTATTTTTAGTGCAGAGTATGAGTGTGCTGTGGAAGGCTGCCGGTTACCAAGGAGGCTGCGCCTCTAAGCTCCTTCAGGGAGCCCCCTGAGTAGTGACTCCAACCTCCGTGTCACTCTCTGATAACCCCTGGCAGAGAACATCCTTAACCCGTGGGGTGACCGCTCTGTGCTGCCTTCCCTCCATCGCTGCTTATATAATGGCTTTTTGTTCTTACTCAGTTTACATGTTAGAAAAAATTACCTCCGTCTTAAAGGAGAGTTCTGTGAAAACATTAGGCAGATCATAGAGAGCCAGGGGGCCTCGGTTGGATACAGTCGCTGTGCGGGTTGGGCAGTGTAGCCCGACCCGGTACAGGGGTTTTGAGTCAGCTTGGCCTCTTTGAACCTCCCCTCTCACCAAGAATCCAGAGGGGAAGTGTTCAAAGCACTCACAAAGTTCTCAGCATATTTTGCTTTACAAAGTAATACAAACCCAGCGAAGGAATAATTAATCAGGTTGAATTCTTCAAATCCCTCACAAAAATTTCATTTTTGGGTCTGGGTACACATCTGCAATGTTTTGTTTTGTATTTTGATTTCATGAACTTTTTCTTTCCACTCTTTAAAAAATGAATCTCCTATATATATAAAATATATATGTATCTATATATATGTGTGTGGTTTTTTTTTTGAGACTGAGTCTCGTTCTGTCACCCAGGCTGGAGAGCGGTAGTGCAATCTCGGCTCACTGCAACCTCTGCCTCCCAGGCTCAAGCTATCCTCCCACCTTAGCCTCCTGAGTGGCTGGGATTACAGGAGTACACCACCATGCCTGGCTAATTTTTATAGTTTTTGTAGAGATGGGGCTTCACCATGTTGCCCAGGCTGGTCTCGAACTCCTGACGTTAAGTGAGCTGTCCTCCTTGGCTTCCCAAATTGCGGGATTATGGGTGTGACCACCGCATCCGGCCCAGTTTTTTTTTTTAGATGGAGTCTTGCTCTGTCGCCAGGCTGGGTTCAGTGGCACGATCTCGGCACTGCAGCCTCCTCCTCCTGGATTCAAGCGGTTCTCCTGCCTCAGTCTCCCGAATAGCTGGGACTACAGGTGCCCGCCACCACATCCAGCTAATTTTTGTATTTTTAGTAGAGATGGGATTTCACCATGTTGGCGAGGGTGGTCTCAATCTCTTGACTTCGTAATCCACCTGCATCGGCCTCCCAAAGTACTGGGATTACAGGCATGAGCCGCTGCACCTGGCCCGGGCCCACTTTTTACCAGTATTTCTTTCTGCTAATCCATGAGACACATCCCTATGGGGAAAACTTGGGAGAGGAGATTGTGAAAAACACACACAAGAAAACATTCATAGTCTCACCTTCCACAGGCAAACACTGCTACTGTTGGCATCTTTCTTCTTCTTCTGTGGACTCTGTCCTTTACACAGTGGAGACTGACCTCTATGTTTGATTTCCTAATATTTCCATGTGTCCTCAGTATACCTTGATAAACATCACGTGCAGAGGCCAGGTAAGTTTCTTTTTCTTTCTTTCTTTTTTTT